ATTCTGTCTTTTGCCTTATTATCATCAGTTAGACTAAAGTTTTAGTAATTTTAATATTTTCAAAGAACTAGCTTTGTGTTAATTTATAGTCTGTATTTTTATAGTTGTTGTTTGTATTGTTTTTAATTTCATGACTTCTTTGCTTATCTTTACTATCTCTCTCCTTTTATTTGGATTTAACGTCTTTCTAAAATTTTTTGGAAGCGAAATGGATTACTTTTTAACTTTTCTAGAAAGTTTCCTAGTTCTTAATAAAATACCTTGTGTAATATATTTGCCTTGTTTTTTGTGAAAAGTATGAGAAAAAGAAATAATTAGAATTACATGAAGTGTTATATGGAAAAAAATAATATTTCTGACCAAGGAACTTTGAAGATAGCAGTTTTACATGATGAAAAAAGTGATGCAGCTTCCAAATTTGCCAAATGCCTACATAATTTTTAAGGTGGGAAATATACTATAGTATACTAGGAAGAACACAGAAATTGGAGTCAGAAAAAACTAAGATTAAGTAAGCATGAACTCTAGTGCTGTTTAGCTGTTGGACCTTGAACAAGTAACCTTATCTATTTGCACCTCAGTTTCTTCATCTGAAAAAACAGAAAAAATATTCTGACCTAGTAGGGTGTTTGCAACTATTACGTGAAATAAATTGGGTAAATAAATTGGCACAGAATCTCATCTAAGTACATAATAAACCCAAAATTAATTAGTCCTCCTTTTGTACCTTAAGATACTGAGTTTTCACGCAAAAATATGTTTATCTCCCTTAAGATAGTCATGTTTCCTTCTTCCATAAGAAACAATACTCCTTAAAGTTTCTCAAAATTAACTGATTTTTATTGTTCCAATGATTTAGAAAGATTTTTAAGGAATATGGCTATAAATGTATTTCATTATTTAAACTTCAAAAATTCATTAACGACCTTGATGATTCTGAAAAGATGGGTATCGTAAAACAGCACAAATACTCAATCTAACTTTATAATTATGATTATATCTTCCTGAAATTATAGAAGTCAATATAACATATTTTTAAAATATATAAATATTATACTTAAAATCTTTTTATTTTGTTAATGTAGACTAATGGAATTAACTCAAAACTGCAGTATTCTCTCTTTCTAAAATAGGAACTAAACAATGTTCTTTAGCATATTACAAATATAATCATGACAGTGGTTATTCTAGAACTGGGCCAGAAAGCATTTAGTAAGATTCGTGTGAATAAATGTGCTTTTATCAAGGAAGGTCATTGGTCTGTTTCCAAAAATAGGGCAGGATATTTTATTTTCTCATTTTTTAATTCTAAAAACATTTTTATGTTATTTGTCAGATAGGATACAGCAGAATAAAATGACGCAATGTTTTTATTAATATTATTTGCTTTTTAAATTAGTTTCGGGAAACATGCTGCCATGAAAATACCTTTAGCATTCTCAATTATTGACTGCTTTTTAACAACTTATTTTTCTCATAAAGGGGCTCTGATTACCTGAAAAAAAAGTTGTTTTCCCTATACTATTCAGATAAATACATTTCATAGGCATTAAAAAATGACAAATATGCTAGTTTGATTGGCATTTTTAAAATCAGCAGTTTCATGCATGTGCTCATATTCTTTGAAATATTTTATTGTGAAATTAAATGCCATTCAAGGCCAGAGACAGCTGCTGGAGGTAGCTTCAATATAGTGTAATCTAAACCTATTGTTTTTCCACAGCTCATTAAAATATTATGAAATTGGAAAGCAAACACAATAAAATATTTGTGTGGGTGTTGCCATGGTCAGTAATCTCCTTCCTCTGAGAGCCTTATCTTTTTGATCTTCTGATTTTGGAACAATTCCTTCTTTATTTGACAGCTTTGCTTTTGATTGACTGCTACTGTTACCATTTGTCAATCTTTCCACATGTTAAGCTTGCTAAGTGTAACTGAGCTGTTTGTATGGAGAACAGCAACTCAGTGATTTTTGACTTGAAAACAACTCAAACAGAAGCTTAATTTGCTCAATATATTTTAAGTACTAACATGGCAGCCCTTAGTTGATTATAACTGTATCACTGTATTTTTTCTCTAATATCACTAAAGTTAACTGACATTCTCATATACCCCTTCCTTCTTCAGCTGTCTCTTTATCTCTCTGAATTTGATAAAATCTATTCTGGATTCTTACTATAAATTCATTCTGAATGGTATCGTGATGTTGAAGGGATATCAGATTCAACATGCTACTCACTTGCTTTGTGTTCATAATTAGAGCATTGATCTAATTAAATCAAATTTCCCAGCTATACATTAATAACAATCATAGCAATAAAATAATATATATAAAATCACAGTCTATGTGTTGAGTAATGCAAGGTATTGCAAATTAGTTTGCATGTTCAATGTTCATTTCATTGAGATCTTTAACACATATTTTGATTGAAACAGTAGTTTCTGAAGGGTCAGTAAAATTTTAAAAACTCGTAATTTCACATACACTCATAATTCCCATATTTATAGAATAATAGGACTCAAATCTTCACAGTCACAATTTATAAGGAGGGAAGTTAGAGGAAAAATAATATTAAGCTGCTTGTCTTCACATTTTAAAAGGCTTTTCTTTCTTTATAAACAAAATCCAAAGGCATTCACCCAATTGGAATCTTATCTTTTGATATTTAATTCCAGAGGTCTGACCTGTTGAAATTAAAGCTGATTTCATTTCCTATTTTATCTTTTTTCCATATGCCCTACCACTCATCGCAAACTACCATCAATATTTATAATAGAATATGAGAGAACCTCTCCTGTCCCCTTATTTCCTAGTTTACACAACAACATATCATTATAAAAGGCTGTAGAGGCTCTGAATAGTTTTGTTACATTTTTGCCCCATTGCATTGCTTTCCTCCAATGTCACTGACACAGCAGGCAACGTCCCTGCCACGGCACTTGTCCTACATAAACAGTAGGACTCACAGCTCTTTTTATTATAAAAAAAATCATACGTTATGTTTTATCATCCCATTTCGCTATAAATACAATGGTTATATAAAAGTATGTAAGCATTCATAGCAGGAAAAAAGGTCAACTAAATTTTCAGAATAGAAACAATGATTTAAAAATAGCTGTTCTTTCCTCCCTTCCCTGTCACTAGATCTTTCCATTGTCATCTATCTAAGGGTGGTTATAACATTTACAAATAGTGCACCACACGCGCATAAGGTGCCTTGAAATGGTAAAGTGTCAAATCCTTGTTAAAGGATTTCAAGATTTCTTCAAACGTCTCACTTCCACCTCCCTCCTTCAAATTCAAATAGTAATATATTTCTTCCCTGATATACAATCTAGCTGACTTGACAAACTTGCTTGTTTTTGTTTTCCTGGTTCCTCTTTCTTTAATCTCTGTGCCAGTGACCATGCTATTCCATCTCTCCCTCCAAATTACTTGCATTTATCCTAGGCAATTCTCAAACTTTCCTGAATAAGTAGAGCCTTTCCTGAGTAAGAACAGATTTTACTCACATAGTGACTCTGATATATCCTAAAGAATAGCCATTAATATGTATTTAGGTCTTAAGAGATTTCCACAGTATAATAAGGGTTTTGGAAGAGTCCAAGGAGCTGAATCTGAGAAAAGTCTAATGGTAACAAAAATAGCCCATTGACCTGTGATGTAAGGTTATTATAATTGTGCCAATGGGTTTAGATGCTGAAGATAGTTGTTAAAATGTAACTGCTATCTACCCAGTAAATTTAAATTTTGCAAGTCTTTATCGTTCTTTAAACATTTTGCATAATTTAGACTGAAAATGTTGAACACAGCATAATTGTTTGTTTTTGTGACCAGGAGAGAAATACAAATAGCTATATCTTGGGTATGGCTGTATGTGTATGTACATACCTATATGTATGTATGCATGTACATATATATATATAGCTATTTGTATATACATATATGTATATTTACATATGTATGTGTGTATATATACATATGTGTATATATACACATATATGTGTGCATGTGTGTGTATATATACACATATATATGTGTGTGTGTATATATATATGTGTGTGTGTATACATATATATATAGGGGTCCATAGGTAATGACAATAAAATTATCATCACTCACTTTATCCAAGTCTGAAACAATTGTGTGTGCAAATTATTTTACATATGCATTTACTACTGAAGACATAATTCTGGCATAATCTGGAATAAAGCTACCACAGATGAACAGTGTACTAAGAGAATCTTAACAGATTTGAGAGAAAAGCCTCCATTTCACATTATTAAATTTATTTACTTTATTGAGAATTAATGCCTTCATTAACGTTAGCAAGACTAAGTTTCTGAAAGAAGATGTTCATTTATTCTTATGTTGTTTTCTTTTAGGAGAGGATAAGCTCTAAATTTGAATATTGATTTCCATAAAGCTCAGCTTCTTCAATGTATAACCAGAGAGCACAAAAATCCTATTTCTAAACATAGTATCCAAAATACTCCAGCACCAAGGATAATCTTCTTAAAAATAGCACACATGATTCATGTTTTACACCAGTATTTAACTCAAAAGTTTCCATTGTTAATACTGAGCTGGAAACTGGATATATTATGCTTTTTGAAAAAGGGTGGAGTTGGTGGTGGTAAATTTGCTTATTGGTCAATGTTGAAGTCCCAACTTGTACTTACTTTAAATGGACAGCAATCTTTATGTTGGTTAGATAAGCAAATGTTAAATCTTATATAGAAGAGAGTTCATTATTTAGAGTATGTTAGAAGAACTCATTCCCACAAAGTAATGTTAGCAATGCTATAAATTAAATTTGCTATACAAAGTACTATATAAGCCAAATTTAAAAGAGGAAGGAGCAGCTGCTCTTTTCCCAGAGATGCAACACAATTTATCTTGTAAACTAGAGCTGGGATTTCTTCATCACATGTATTAAGTGATTCTCTCTTTCATTTTGCTTCCATCCTTGACTATTCTTCCCTCAAGGAACCCTCACCTGCTCTGCTCATAACCTTCTGAGTTCACAAATATATCCATGCATCCCTTAACTTAAAACACAGTCACACGTCACTTAACAGCAAGGATGCATATGAGAAATGTGTCATTAGGCAATTTCATCACTTTGCAAACATCATACAGTATGCTTGCACAAACCTACTAGGAGGTACATACAGCCTACTACCCTACTACATACCTAGAATAGATGATATTGTCTTTTTTTTTGGGGGGGGGGGACGAAGTCTAGTTCTGTCGCTCAGTCTGCAGTGCAGTGGCGCAATCTTGGCTCACTGCAAGCTCCGCTCACCGGGTTCACGCCCTTCTCTGGCCTCAGCCTCCCGAGTAGCTGGGACTACACGCGCCCACCACCATGCCCGGCTAATTTTTTTGTATTTTAAGTAGAGACGGGGTTTCACCGTATTAACCAGGATAGTCTTGATCTCCTGACCTCGTGATCTGCCCTCCTCGGCCTCCCAAACTGCTGGGATTACAGGCGTGAGCCACCACACCCAGCCGGTATTGCCTATTTTTATAATATGCAACAAACCTGTACAGCATGTTGCTGTACTGAACACTGCAGGCAATGGAACACAATGATACATATTTGTGTATCATGTAGATATATTTAATATCTACACATAGGATAGGTAAGGTAAAAATACGGTATTATAATCTTCTGGGACCACTGTCGTATATGCAGTTAATCTTTGACTACAATGTCCTTCTGCAGTGCATGACTGTATGCCAATTTTCAGAGGTAAAATCTATCATCTCCTCCTCTCATCTTCTCCATATTTTATGTCCTAACTCCTCACCTCAAATGTCTTTTAAAAATGACATTTTTTGCATAACTTAACTCTTATTTAACTATTTGTATCACTATATCAATTATTGCTGTCTATCCACTATAATACTGAATATGTTTGTTTCTGTTTTTGTTATTATTCTATTCTTTTTTTTTTGAGATTTTTAAAATTATTATTATACTTTAAGTTCTAGGGTACATGTGCATAACATGCAGGTTTGTTACATATGTATACTTGTGCCATGTTGGTGTGCTGCACCCATCAACTGGTCAGCACCCATCAACTCGTCATTTACATCAGGTATAACTCCCAATGCAATCCCTCCCCCCTCCTCCCTCCCTCTCTCCCCATAAAAGGCCCCTTCCCGAGTCCAAGTGATCTCATTGCTCAGTTCCCAGCTATGAGTGAGAACATACGCTGTTTGGTTTTCCGTTCTTGCAATAGTTTGCTCAGAATGGTGGTTTCCAGCTGCATCCATGTCACTACAAAGGACACAATCTCATCCTTTTTTATGGCTGCATAGTATTCCATGTTGTATATGTGCCACATTTTCTTAATCCAGTCTGTCACTGATGGACATTTGGGTTGATTCCAAGACTTTGCTATTGTGAATAGTGCCACAATGAACATAAGTGTGCATGTGTCTTCATAGCAGCATGATTTACAATCCTTTGGGTATGATTATAAATCGTGCTGCTATAAAGACACATGCACACCTATGTTCATTGCGGCACTATTCACAATAGCAAAGACTTGGAATCAACCCAAATGTCCATCAGTGACAGACTGGATTAAGAAAATGTGGCACATATACACCATGGAATACTATGCAGCCATAAAAAAGGATGAGTTTGTGTCCTTTGTAGGGACATGGATGCAGCTGGAAACCATCATTCTCAGCAAACTATCACAAGAACAGAAAATCAAACACTGCATGTTCTCACTCACAGGTGGGAACTGAACAATGAGATCACTTGGACTCACGAAGTGGAACATCATACACCAGGGCCTATCATGGGGAGGGGAGTGGGGGGAGGGATTGCATTGGGAGTTATACCTGATGTAAATGACGAGTTGATGGGTGCTGACGAGTTGATGGGTGCAGCATGCCAACATGGCACAAGTATACATATGTAACAAACCTGCACGTTATGCACATGTACCCTAGAACTTAAAATATAATAATAAAATAAAATAAAATAAAATAAAATACAATCCTTTGGGTATATACCCAGTAATGGGAGGGCTGAATCATATGGTACTTCTAGTTCTAGATCCTTGAGGAATCGCCATACTGTTTTCCATAATGGTTGAACTAGTTTACAATCCCACCAACAGTGTAAAAGTGTTCCTGTTTCTCCACATTCTCTCCAGCACCTGTTGTTTCCTGACTTTTTAATCATTGCCATTCTAACCGGTGTGAGATGGTATCTCATTGTGGTTTTGATTTGCATATCTCTGATGGCCAGTGATGATGAGCATTTTTTCATGTGTTTATTGACTGTATGCGTGTCTTCTTTTGAGAAATGTCTGTTCATATCCTTTGCCCACTTTTTGATGGGGTTGTTTGTTTTTTTCTGGTAAATTTGTTTGAGTTCTTTGTAGGTTCTGGATATTAGCCCTTTGTCAGATGAGTAGATTGCAAAAATTTTCTCCCATTCTGTAGGTTGCCTGTGCACTCTGATGGTAGTTTCTTTTGCTGTGCAGAAGCTCTTTAGTTTAATTAGATCCCATTTGTCAATTTTGGCTTTTGTTGCCATTGCTTTTGGTGTTTTAGACATGAAGTCCTTGCCCATGTCTATGTCCTGAATGGTATTACCTAGGTTTCCTTCTAGGGTTTTTATGGTATTAGGTCTAACATTTAAGTCTCCAATCCATCTTGAATTAATTTTCGTATAAAGAATAAAGAAAGGATCCAGTTTAAGCTTTCTACTTATGGTTAGCCAATTTTCCCAGCACCATTTATTAAATAGGGAATCCTTTCCCCATTTCGTGTTTTTCTCAGGGTTGTCAAAGATCAGATGGCTGTAGATGTGTGGTATTATTTCTGAGGGCTCTGTTCTGTTCCATTGGTCTATATCTCTGTTTTGGTACCAGTACCATGCTGTTTTGGTTACTGTAGCATTGTAGTATAGACGCAATAAAAAATGATAAAGGGGATATCACCACCAACCCCACAGAAATAGAAACTACCATCAGAAAATACTATAAACACCTCTATGCAAATAAACTAGAAAATCTAGAAGAAATGGATAATTTCCTGGACCCTTACATGCTCCCAAGACTAAACCAGGAAGAAGTTGAATCCCTGAATAGACCAATAACAGGCTCTGACATTGAGGCAAAAATTAATAGCCTATCACCAAAAAATCTCCAGGACCAGATGGATTCACAGCTGAATTCTACCAGAGGTACAAGGAGGAGCTGGTACCATTCCTTCTGAAACTATTCCAATCAATAGAAAAAGAGGGAATCCTCCCTAACTCATTTTATGAGGCCAACATCATCCTGATACCAAAGCCTGGCAGAGACACAACAACAAAAAAAAGAATTTTAGACCAATATCCCTGATGAACATCGATGCAAAAATCCTCTATAAAATACTGGGAAACAGAATCCAGCAGCACATCAAAAAGCTTATCCACCATGATCAAGTGGGCTTCATCCCTGGGATGCAAGGCTGGTTCAACATATGCAAATCAATAAACGTAATCCAGCATATAAACAGAACCAAAGACAAAAACCACATGATTATCTCAATAGATGCGGAAAAGGCTTTTGACAAAATTTAACAGCCCTTCATGCTAAAAATGCTCAATAAATTCGGTATCGATGGAACGTATCTCAAAATAATAAAAGCTATTTATGACAAACCCACAGCCAATATCATACTGAATGGGCAAAAACTGGAAGCATTCCCTTTGAAAACTGGCACAAGACAGGGATGCCCTCTCTCACCACTCCTATTCAACATAGTGTTGGAAGTTCTGGCTAGGGCAACCAAGCAAGAGAAAGAAATCAAGGGTATTCAGTTAGGAAAAGAAGAAGTCAAATTGTCCCCGTTTGCAGATAACATGATTGTATATTTAGAAAACCCCATCATCTCAGCCCAAAATCTCCTTAAGCTGGTAAGAAACTTCAGCAAAGTCTCAGGATACAAAATTAATGTGCAAAAATCACAAGCATTCTTATACACCAGTAACAGACAAACAGAGAGCCAAATCATGAATGAACTTCCATTCACAATTGCTTCAAAGAGAATAAAATACCTAGGGATCCAACTTTCAAGGGATGTAAAGGACCTCTTCAAGGAGAACTACAAACCACTGCTCAGTGAAATCAAAGAGGACACAAACAAATGGAAGAACATACCATGCTCATGGATAGGAAGAATCAATATTGTGAAAACGGCCATACTGCCCAAGGTAATTTATGGATTCAATGCCATCCCCATCAAACTACCAATGAGTTTCTTCACAGAATTGGAAAAAACTGCTTTAAAGTTCATATGGAACCACAAAAGAGCCCGCATTGCCACGACAATCCTAAGTCAAAAGAACAAAACTGAAGGCATCACGCTACCTGACTTCAAATTATTATTCTATTCTTTTGTCTCCTTATTTGTTTCCTATTTAGTTATTTTTCTTGACATTGATTGACAAAAAGTACTAAAGTGAAAACCTGGAAAAAAAATAGGAAAACCTGGAAGGTTATTCACTTAAAAGCTAAAAACAAATCACATTCTAGAAACAATTACTGATATTTAATGAATTTTATTCCTGCTCAATGAAAGACAAGTGAAATTTACGCAGAAATCTCTTTCTCTTGTCCTAACAGGCAATTCAGATTATTTCATACAAGGTGAGAGAATCCGACTTGTCTCTATTGCTCAGCCCTATGTTCCCATTGCTAAGCATTATTTTCTTGAATGTTTTAATGGCCTCCAATACCACCACTGTGCTAAGATCCTAAATATGTATAGTTTTAAATATGTTTGGCTGTTGAATGCAGCAATAGTGGAAATATAAAATACATGTTGGTTACTATGATATGAAAAGACAATAAAAGTTTAAATAAAATGCCTGAGCTATGAGTGAAGTTTCTGTCTCATTTAGGCATATACCAAGCAACCTGCAGAATTGGATAGGGTCTATTTTCGTAAAGGGAAAGATAGTTCCATTTTCTATAAGCAAATGTAACCCAGAAACAAAAATCAAATGCTTTCATGGGCTG